GGAAATGTCTCTCCTGGTCTTCCTGACATCTCTGGTCAGCTTAAATCTGTAGCTCTGAGGCTCAGGGATGTGAGGAGAGGGAAAGGCAGAGCTTGGTCTCCTTGGTCTCCTTGGGTGCAACTTCCTAGCCAGCTGGAACCATGGGTAGAGAGAAGCTTCCAGAAGCTCCCAGCGGCCCGGGTCCAAAGGTCAATGAGAGCAGAGTATTCAGAAGTGCTTCCAATAACCCTGAAGCCCAACAAGCAGAAGCCTTATTTAATGAAGGCTTCTTCAAACCCCAGATCAAGGGAAATCTCCAACCCTTTACAGCAGTGACATTTACTAGGACAGCACTGCAGAGTCTGTGACACATCACACAGGTGAATCCCACACCAGTGACATACGAGGCCTGCTGCCAGGTGTGCCTCACAGTAGTGCAATGAACATGCTTTAATATGGTGCAGGAGGGACAGGATGCCAAAAAGTCCAGCATAAGTGGACAACTCCCAAAACAGAATGAGGGACCAGGGCCCAGTCAGGCCTGGCGAAGTCTCATCCCCTGAGGCACGGGGACTGTTCTGGGAGATGGATAGTCACAGGCAGGGGCCTCATTTCCAAACAATCATCATTCAGAAATACTTTCCCATGACCCCCTCAAGCCAGCTTCATTCATTAAAGTGTCCAGTGGTGGGAGCTCCTGCTCCAAACACAACACATGGTCAGAAGATTCCCACCCCTGGTCCCCATCCTGAGGGGCAGGAACCTGGAGAACAGGGCCAGCAAAGGAAGGAAGAACACAGTATCTCCTCAAGGGCATGTGCAGAGCCAAGACTAGCTTCCTACCCTCTACACGCCTCCATGGCCATTTGTTCATTTCCTCTTCTGCCAAGAACACATCTCTCCAGGAACATAACCCACGTGGTGAGGAAGGAGCAGCAGAAGGCAGGCTGCAAAACCACCTGGATGGACTCGGATCCACAGACCTGGAAGTGCTCTTGTGTGATCAGCGAAGAAACAAAGGGCACAGGGAGTGAAGCTGCCCATCCAGGGCCACTCAGGAGACTACAGATGTGGCTCTGACTTGGGGTACCCCAGTCACTCCTCCATCCACCATCTCCTCTGCTCCAGCATCACCTAAGGCCCTGCCAGGCTCATCCTACATGCAGGTTCAGCCCTCATCCCTGCCTTCCCTCTTCAAAGACCACACTTTTGCATGTGGGTGGGCAGGAAGTGGGAGCCGAGCAATGAAAGGTTGGATGAATGTCCTCGTTCTAGACAAGAGCTCACCAGGCCACATCCTGAAGCAATGTGAATTTCCTACTTGAGACTCCAGGCCTCCCCAAGCAAGCTGTGTCTCTAATTCAATGATCTAGACACAGCACTGTCCGTGGTTCTGGGGTTGCTGCTGTTGAAATCCACACCCCCAATGCAAGGGGCTTCTCCACTTGGCTCAGCCCCTCTTGGAAACAGTCTATGCTTAGCCACCAGAGCTCCTTGGTCCCCATGCTCCTAATACTTTGTCCAATTTAAACATCATTTCTCGTTCTACGATGTAACAATTATGCTTGTGTTCCTGAGTTCTCCGTCCCCAGAAGAATAAACAAACAAAAAACAGACCAAGCCACCAAATGCACCCCACTCCAAATTCTCCTACCTCACACAGGCCAAGGGCCTGGCAGGAGCCACATACTCCATTACCCACCATCCTCAAAATGATATCAATAAACAAGTTCTGGGGCCCTGCCTCTCCTCCACCTGAGACTCAGTTCTGACATTTGACTGGCACAACCCCAAAAATCCCATCACAGGATCTCTGAAGTCTTCTGGGTTTTTTGTTTGTTTGTTTGTTTTCAAAATCTAGGACCTTTGAAATGAGCTGCAACACCAATCCTTTTTTTTTTTTTTTTTTTTATTTCAAGACAGGGTCTTACTAAATTGCCCAAGGTGGGCTCAAACACGCAGTCCGGCTACCTCAGCCTTGCATGGTGCTTGGGTTACAGGCATGCACTACTATGCCCAGCTAACCTTCTGGCTTTTGGGTGCGCCTGTCCCTGCAAATGCATGAACTCCTGAGCTGGGGCTCCAGCTGGTCCTCCCCAGCTCCTTCAAGGCCCAGTTCCTCACCTGTGATTAATCCATAACACTGTGTACAGTGCAGCTTGGCAAATTCTTTTTAGCACTTAGTCCAAGGAGAAAATATGTCTGGATTTAAGAATTAGCGTGCTCCTTCTATCACGTTTGGGGGATTATGTGGCCTCTCCAGCTCCCCCTTGATCCCAGTAACCAGGAAGCTCAGAGCTCAAATTCAGCACTCTGACAGACTACACAGCAGAAGTGTTTGGTTGCTCCTGCTTTCCAGGACTCTTGGTTTCTCCAGAGAACCCTTCTACTGTTGTAAACATAGGTTTATTTCAAACTGCCTCAATCCATTTGTGTAGAAAGTATATATTTTAAGCAAGCAGAAAAGAAAAGCCCACCTTTTTACTGGGGCTTTCCCTGAGCCCTGCAGCTAGCTCAATACTCAGTCCTCTTCTGAACTCCAGCAGAGCTCCTATTCCACACCAAACAAAGCAGCACTTCACCTTGAATATACAGAAAGGCCCACCTATACCAGGAAAAAAGAAGCCTCACCCAACCCACGTTCCTCTGTGGCCCTGGCCTCAGCCCTGCTTCCTTCTGAAAAATGCAGTTTGTATCCAATGCCTCTGCTTCTGCCTCCCTGCCAGAGGTGTGCCCATAGCAATTGGCTTTGAGCACAACACACACGCACACACACACGTGTGTGCATGCATGCATTTTGTAAGATTTCAGCTTCACTACTCCTTCCCCATGAATCCTCCTATCTTCTGGTTTCTGGGCCCCACTCTCTGCTCTGTTGTCCTCCGGCTCCCCAGACTCCCTGCCTCACCCTGTACCTTCTCAGCCGTCCCTTCCACAAGCCCCTGTGTTTCCAGCATAGTTTTGCTGTCACTACTCACACTGATGGCTTCATTTACCACCTGAACTCCAAGGATGCTCCAATCTGCAGGCGTCTCCACCAACCCTCCCTGAAACATCACCCACTTCTGTGACTTTAATCACCAACAAGGAGCCCAAGAATTTCTAAACCTCGCCTCAATACTGAGCTCCAGACCCATTCATCCAAATGCCCCCCAGATATTGCCATGGGAATGGCAACAGTTTCCCCAGAGACTCCTCAAACACTGTGTGTTCAACACCATCCTCACCCAATTATTCCATCGCCCCATAGTTATTCAACTGGGAACTGCGGCAGATACAGATGCCCTCCACTTATCTGTTTAAATAATGCTTATAGAGTGCTCACCATATACCAGGCTCTATGTGCTGGATAAGGTGTGGAGTAAGTAAAACAGAAACAGTTCTTGCCTCCAGGGAACTTCAGCCAGTCATCCAGTCCTAACACATCCAAGTCTTTCTTGTCACTCTCCTCTGAAACAATCCACAATTTCCATTCCCACAGCCACTACCTTAGTCCAGAGCAGTATGTTATAGTGCCAAGGAAGTAGCACCATGTGACTCCCAGCTCTGAAGGGTGTGCACTGTGTGACCTTAGGCAAATTATTTTCTCTATTCCCTCACCTGACAGATAAAGATGAAAACAGCACTGGCTTTGTTGCCTTGTTGCGTGATCGAGACATGAAGCTTTTCGAACAGTGTCTAGAACACTGCAGACAATCTCTAGACACCTGCAACTACTGCAATTCCTGTTTCTCCCATCATGGCCCACCTACATGTACCCACCCCTTGCAGTTTCTCCAAGCTCTCCCCCTCCCACACGCCTCTTTGGCTGCCTTCTTCCTGTGCTTTCTTCTCATTTCCCAAGGCTTTATTCAAGGTCCCCTTCCCTGGAAGGGTGAGATGCCCCTCACCCGTGTCCCTCCTTGGTACCTCCCAGCTTCATCCTACTGAATTGAGACCACTTCTGTCTTTGCCTGCTTCCCTGATGAAGCCCATGTTCTTTGGAGAGTATCAAGGTCATCTCTGTATGTCCAGGCCTTACAACCAAGGGCTACATGCAAGAGAGGCTGAAAAATGCTTAATAACAAACAGGAAAAATATGTTTAAGGAGCCAGATTTCAATTCACTATAACAAAAAATCCCACTTCCTAATAACTAGGCTACATTTAGTAAGCATGTACTACATGCCAGGCTCTGTGTCAAGCTGTGGACACATGCAATCTAATGCTCACGATAACCTTGTGCTATGGCTATTCCTGTTTTGTAGGTGAAGGGGTGGAGGCTCAGCGAATCTTCAAAAGTGGCTCAAAGTCACACAACTAGTAACTGGTAGTCAGAATTCAAACACAACACCATCAGGCTCTGGAACCTATTCTTTCCCCCAACACTAGCCTATTCAGCTCTCCGTCTGTAATGAGCTGCTCTTCAATCTATGAGAGCACCTTCCTCTGCTGAGTCACGAGGCTGGGGTTTCCTTCAGAAGTGGGATCAAATTCTCTGAAGGTCATTTCTTTTTTTAAGACTCCAGGAGCCAATGATTTTAAATTATAAGCTCCTCGGATGGCTTACTAACTTCCCTCACAGTCCTTAACATGAGGCTAGGCACAGAGAGAGCAATTGACCCGAGTTCAATGAATGAGCAAATCAGAAAATGACTGGCAGATGAATGGATGGATTCATAGGTGGAAAGGTGGATAAATCAAAGGATGGATGGAATGGATGGATAGATGGGTGGATGAGTGGATGGGTGG